AAACGACCTTCAGATGCCATTATAGTGACTAATTGACCTTGACGAACAGAAAAACCTAAATGACATAGATCAACACGGCTTATTTTGAGGATTCATTGATATGACCTTGAAGCGACTTACAAATTCCGTCATAGGAACAAACTAAACCCAGATCTGAAATCAGCCGATCCACATATTTGTGGATGACAATACTTTGCAAGCAGGCATTCAGAGTGGCAAGCCGATCATTGTCATTGACCTGGACAGAAGACTAGTGGCGCCTTAGTATAAACTTGGTGCTGTTCAGAGTAGGCCTCCGACAGGTAGATGATACTTCTTTAACAGACAAACTCAAACCCCTTTCACGACTCATCAGTAATATGGCTTCTATTGATATTAACGTTATAGCAATTTCGGTAGCTCTGGATTTAAGCTATGTCTTCACGGCTGTTACGCTCCTGAAAACGCTCCATATTTCCGTCAAATTACTTGCTTTGCGTGAGAGGAGCTTTAGCTGCCGCTCTGCCTGTTTGCTATCTGTCGATATAGCCTACGCGTATACACGAGCTAATAACTATTTACTTTAACTGATATTTACCGAAGAGACATCCTGTTGTCTTAATAATAATTAACGTTACTAACGAGAAGTGTGAAAATGAACAATATGAGCATCCGTATAAATCATTTTGCATTTGCGTATGTAGGTTACGGCAAATGTTTCATCTACCTAACAATGTCAAAGATGTTTGTTTAGAGTGCGAGGCAGTTTCGCGTAGATAGGAAACAAAATAGAACGTTTTCCGAATATACTGTTTGGATTCTGAAAGATGTTGTCAAGGAGGTTGACTTTGCACCTCCCACGCAACGCAGTTCATAAATTATTACGCTCGGCACAAGTTGGTCCCTCTGAGCTAGCTACAAACATGTATAACAAAAAAAGCAACATGGATAAAGTCAGTCAAACAGGCTCATACAACTAGTAAATAGTCCCCACGTTGAAGATCTATAAATTTGTCCCATACCCTACCGAGAGTACCAACAATTTGGCAACATTGGTATGACTAACCTCGCCGCTAACCAGCCACGGCACCACGACTACGAAACACAGTCAGCCTTTAGCCGAACGACGAAGGTATATCCAGAGACTGTGTTAAAAATATTTCTCTGTCATCAAGTTTTTTCATCTGCAATTTTTTTCTGTAAATGAGGAAGAAGCGTCAAAATGCCAAGTGGCTGGTGAATCTTATGCCTGCACTTCACTATCGGCGATGATCGTTGAATCGTGTGATCGTTCATAATAGACACGATCAACGTGCAAGCATCCACACGAGCGTCCGTAATAATTTGTCAAGCGGCAAGCATCAATATGACTCGGCGATTTTCTTTGATGCGTGTCCGAAAAATCGACAAATCACGGGTCGACGGCGATCATAGACGATGATCGGCGAGTACAGCCGAGTATGCCCTCTACACGATCGGGCTCGCGCGTAATCGTTTGTAATCGCCGATTGTGACGTTGAGCCATCACGGGACACAACTGAAGATCCAGATTATTAAGTAATTCGGTGAGGTGTTCTTGACATTACAAGGGCAACCTACGGGCTCTCAGAGAGGCTTTGCAGATGGGTGGTTGACTCCCATCATGGTCATAAGACATCCAGCGTAATCGGTCAGTATTTCACAGGGATCGCTTCTGGCACTGGCTGCAACTGTTCCGATTACACATCGATGTCTTTTCCTTCACGCTGTGCTTTTCAGATAGCCCACAATCAGCACTGACTGTAGACTATAGAGCAACAGCCGTGTTGTTGTTATGTCCCTAAACTACTGCAACCCACGTTTCGTTAACATAGCTTGTGGGTTGCAGTCTCGTAGGATACTATAAGGAGTATTACAGATTACTGAAGAAAGGGGGTGACTTACTAGCCTTAACGTCACTGCGATCCGAATAGATTCATTATGACCCCCATAGATGGCACTAGGATCTTAGTTTTTGAGTTCAAGTAGAGCACGTTAACCAATGCTTACATGAATATGAACACTGGTCCATAAATGAACCTTGTAAAGGGTGGTCCATCATTTTTGTTTAACTTGGCATTATTTAGACAGTTGATAACACTTCCATGCTCAACATATCTGCAGATATGTGGGCTCTAAATCAATTGGAAACGGACGTCAATTTTGGTCGTCAAATCATCTTTTTGGACGAAGCCCGTTTCCACCTGGGAGGTTAAGTTAACAAGCAGAACTGTAGGATTTGGGGCTCTGAAAATCCACATGTCATAGAAAAATCAACGCATCTGAAAAGAGTAAATGTTTGGTGTGGCTTTTGGAGTGGTGGGATTATTGGTCCCTACTTTTTTCAAGATGAAGATGGTAACAGCATGACGATAAACGGGGAACGCTATAGGGACATGTTGAGGAGTTTTTTGTGGCCACTATTAGACGACATGCACTTGCACAATCTCTGGTTCCAGCAGGATGGCGCAACATGCCTCGCCAGCCATGAAACAATCGATCATTTACACACTCAGTTCGGTCATCGCGATATTAGCCGTTTTGGAGACGCTCATTGGCAGCTGTGAATTGACGCCCATGGATTACTTCCTATGGGGTACTTTTAAGGACCGCTGTTACACTAACGAAGCTCAAACAATTGATGTTCTTAAGGAAAATATCCGTCGAGCTAATGATGAAATAAATCCACAAACTATCGAAAATGTGCTTGAAAATTAGGTTTAGAGGATGGACTAGTGCCTGGCCAGCCGCGGCAGCCATTTAACTGAAATTGTTTTTCATAAATAATCGGAAGGTGTCTTCTTTTGAATTAAGTATCGAGTGTTACATAGTATTGAAGAGTGTAAGTTTTAATACCAATTTAAAGAAGAAACCAACGGATGGCCCACCCTTTATAACAGCGATAGGAACGTGTGTATTATGAACAACAGATATGAAGTCCGCTTACGCATTATCCGTATCAATATATTTCCTATCCTATTTTTTCTGTTAATCAGTATATATGTCCGCTCCTTATGTTTGTCCCCATCTAATTTCGGGTTCTTACCAGCTCACTGTGCTGCGTGTAGGCAAAACCTCACGACGGGCGTCTGGGTTTTTGATTGGTTTACACAAGGCATTCCTTTTTCGACGCTTTATAAATTGTTTAAACTGGCACATTTTCGACTCCGAGCTCTGAGAGATGTTAACAAGTTTGCGCGTACTAGCCGTCCAACAAATTCATAAATTTTCTTTCGACTGTCATGTTTGGAAGACGTTTCCGTCAATGCGCTCACAAATATTGAACTGTTATTAGGGTATGATTAGATTAGGTTGATTGCTTTTTTGTTCTGAGCAGTTACTCGATATTTGCGTAGTACGAACTATAAAGGGCTTTATTGGTTTAAGCAATTTGTACACTTGTTTGGAGTGAAAAAACAGGGCCTTTTTGACCACTCCGTCAGTCTCAGCGAGAAGCTTAAATCAAATTCGGTGACATTTACACTAAGCTAACACAAAAAAATATGACTGTAAAATCCTAAGGTGCCGCAAAAATGATATTAGATTGTCTATCGACACAGTCACCAGTTCTTCCGCGTATGTTTAAGATACTTGCGAAATCGGTACTTTCTCAGAGAATTGGAAATCCGCTCATGCTTAGCCAGTCTCAAAAAAAGGATCGAAGACCGACCTCCACCACTACAGACACATAGCTCTCCTCTCCGTGATCAACAAGATAATGGAGAAATGCATAAATCGGGTGCTTCTGGAATATCTCGAACATTACAGTTTGATTAGCGAGAGGCAGTATGGTTTCCGGTAACAGCGATCTAGCTTACGTCACATAAAAGTTTACTTATCTAGTCATATGATATTCGAAAGCTTTCGATCAGCTGTGACATGCTGCCGTCTTATACCAGCTTCCATCTGATGGCCTCGCAGAAAAGCTTTGCAGATGCATGACTGATTTCCTCTCCAGCCGCAAGCAGTTCATCGGGATTAAAGGGTTCTCCCCTTCAGGCCAAAATATCAACACGGGTGTTCCCCAAATATCGGTATTAGCTCCGAGATTGTTCCTCTAACATATCAAGGACCTCCTTTTCTGTACGATCAATCCGACGCACAATTTGCTGATGAGCCGTAGAGAAAATTAATAGCGACCTCTCTGACGAGAGATCTGGTAGCTGTCACTTCCTGGGAACGCAAAAATTGTAACAGTGCTATGCTTCCAAAACACAGAAATGTAACCCGTTCCGACACCGTAGCCTAGATCTGGTTCCGACGGCTGACAGAGTTCTGCCAAAGAGCCATTTGTTTCGGATGATCCAGAAAAGCAAGGACTTGATTTGGCACGAACACATCTGGCCAACCGCAATAGCTACTTGGAAAAGTTATTTTATTCGTTTAGGAACTACTTTTTTCACAAAACTTCCTTACACTGTACAAGGTTCAAATAAGACCTATTCCCGAGTCTTGTAAACTTTTTTGGAGTAGGGTCGCTATAACTACATCGTCCATACTCGGTACTGTTCTAAGGAAAGCTGTCCGCCTAATCGAGGATACACCTTAAATGACAGCCTCTATGTCAATGTGTTCCTCAGATTTTTCCTCCATGATGCCACCGCGCGTTGAGCCTGTTAGACGGACCGGCCAGGCTTATGTCTCCCATCCTAACTCGTGCATTCAGAACTGGCCTGCACGAACGTTCCTTTGTTCCTAATGTGTCGGAATTGTGGAACAATCTGCCGGAGGAGGGCTTTTCCAGTTTGCAGACCTAGGCAATTCAAAAATTGGATTAACAAGGTATCTTCAACCTCCAGTATAAAAAAACTATTATTTCATTGCGATTATGCCCATTTAGGGATTAGAATCAGTAAGCATTTCAGCCTTAAGGCTATGAAGTGAAATCAGCGTTATAACAAATATATCTATCTTACGAACTATGCAGGAACTTTTTCTCAGTATGAATTCGACACTTTCTTTGATTACAATGACTGTATACCTAACAATTCTTTTTGTTTCAGCAACCACACGGCCACACTCTGGAGCGATGGAACGTCCGCAGTCCTGAGGAGGAACCAGTGTTCCTCCAGCATTTTTTCCGGTTCGGAGACACGTCAGCCATAACGCAACAGTTGCTTCTGGCGCAGCAGGCTCTTCAGGACCCCACACTGGAGCGCCTCGAGCGTCGGCATCCACCTTACCACCAAAGGCGGGCGATGTCCCCGAACCATCGCCCATCACCTCCGCCTTTGCCCACCTCAGCATTCCACCCTACTAGGTTACCTAGAATGTCTCCGCATCAAAAACACCCTTTGAACTTCATCAAGCTGCCCGCTAGCACCACTGAAGCGCCTACATCACCACCTAGTGCACCCATCAATACCTCGCCTTTGAACCGGCTACAAAGCATGCAACCTTTTGACTACAGAAAGCTGGGTGCTAGCCTGGGCGGGTTTCCAACACCCGAACGCAACCGCAATGAACCAATGGGACTAAATCTCAGTCGAACTACCTCAATGCAGAGCTGTTTACCTCCTCCGCCTCCTCCTCCATTAACGCACTCTGCAGCTGCAATGGTGAACTCTTTGGCAGCTGCTAGCTTAGTCGCTTCTTCATTTCCTGGGCTAATGTCTACGACGATGTCTACTGGTAGCAAGTCTCCTTCCAGTGCAGATGTTACTAGCGGTACGACAAATAGCGACGAAGACGATGCTGATGAAAATTCGCATAGTGTTCTCAATCTGAGTAGGGATGGAGATGCTCTAAAAGCTCCAAGACAAAGCAGGATGATGCCTGGGAGGAAACCGTCCACACCAACCAAGCGACAGTGGGGTTCGCCTGGTTTACCTCTCAATCTTGGCACGCAGTTCATCAACCCAGCTACGGGGAAGAAACGGGTTCAGTGCAACGTCTGTCTAAAAACGTTCTGTGACAAAGGTGCTCTGAAGATTCACTTTTCTGCTGTTCATCTTCGAGAAATGCACAAGTGTACAGTAGAAGGCTGCAATATGATGTTCAGCTCCCGACGATCCAGGAATCGGCATAGCGCCAACCCCAATCCAAAACTGCATTCGCCTCATCTCAGGAGGAAAATATCTCCGCACGATGGTAGAAGTGCTCAATCACACCCGATCCTTATTCCTCCTCAGCCTGGGCTCACTCTTCCTGCAGCAGCTGCTCTAAATCCTTTGAATCCATTTGGACCATTCCCGCTACTCACTCCTCCACCAGATATGAAGTATCATTCCCTTGCCACCATGGACTTTAAGCAAACGTTAGACCTCAGCATGCAAAGGTTAAAAGAAAGCAGTAGGCCTCCACTCCAAGACTTCAGCGGTACAATGTTAAGTACAAACCTACAACAGTCAGAGGATGATGACGAAGACGATGATGGAATTGTAGTAGTTGGCGGTGAGGATGATGAAGACCAAGTTCCAAGTGGACATATGAATGGAGAAATGATATCGGATGAACCTGAAGACTTCAGCATGCCAGCGAAAAAGCAGAAAATGTCGGTGTCAGATGTCGAAGAGGAACCAGAAGAACACGTTGATACGACAAGTAACGTCGCTGAATCATGTGAAGTACCCGATGTAGCACCAAGCAAAACACCTGAAGTGAAAGAACCTTCTACTAATACTGCGGAAGATGCTGTGAGTAATGCTGATAGTAACGAAGATTCTCTGAGTGTTGTAGACACGCATAGCTTGAAAGATGAACCTAGCGCTCCAACCAACAAGCGAAAGAGAAAAAGTCAAAATCCCACCAAATGTGCGGTAGTAACCACAATTGACGATGAGGTCAGCGATGGCGACTCTTCCACAGATGTGTTTTCGGAAAGACTAACCGAGAAACCAGAAAAAAATACTCCTACTGAATGGAATGTCGAACCCAAAATAAAAGAAGAAACAACCGAAACGCCATTAGATTTGGGCAAAAGAAGCCCTGACGTAAATGCAAATGAATCCAAGCAAACTGTGACAGCGGAAATCAAAACTAGTCTCGCACCTTTGTTCATGATAGACAAAATAAAAAAGGAAAAACAAGTATGTGAAACAGAAAGCCACGATGAACAAGAAGAAAGACCACTTAGCTCGGTAGAAAGTAACAAAAGCGATGAATCTATGGATTCAACAAATCCTTTACGCCAACTTGAAAGCTTGTCACATGGCCACTTTGGCGACTTGATGGCGAGAGGACTACACATGCATCAACCACCTCCATTTCCTCACTTGGGGTTTATGATGGGAGGAGACCCTCCAAGTCCTACCAGATCTCAAGCTTCTTCCGCTGGAAGCAGTAATGGCAGGGAATCTCCTTCGGATGAAAACAGCCAAGGACATTTGTATGGGCATTTTGATAACGGTCAGTTCATAAGTGGAATGGATGTTCCAGTAGATAAGGATAATCCTAGAAGGTGCACTGCATGTGGGAAAGTGTTCCAGAACCATTTTGGAGTAAAAACGCATTATCAGAATGTACACTTGAAGTTGATGCACAAGTGCAATGTCGATGGTTGTAATGCTGCCTTCCCTTCCAAGAGGAGTAGAGACAGACATAGCGCTAATTTGAACCTTCATCGGAAGTTGCTGTCTACTTCAGACAAAACAGCAGCTAGTTTATTCTTAGAAAAATCGCCGTTTGCTAACCTGGCGAATCCAGCGCTGCATGGTGACTTTTTGACGCGGCTGTACGCAGAGGAAGCGTTGAAATGTCATCCATTACCGCCTCCAAACTTAGACCAATTGATGATTAATGGTGACAGGATACCTCATCCTCCTCTACTTCTACCTCCACTTGGAAGTCTTCCATTTTCTCTGGGCAACTTCAACCACTTCGGCCAATTCAACGGTTCTTCCATATCAGCAACGCACAAGGAGCGCTCCTCAACCTCCAGTTCTCCGATCTCAGAAACGCCTCCACCTAGTACGGTGTCTCCAGGACCATTCAGGTAATTTTTCAAAACTTTCTTTAGTACTCTAAGCTTGCAAATTTTCTATTTTTGTCTCCGTGGCTAACAAATGAAGGAAATCAGTAAGTTAGGGTTACTTTGGGACTCTAACTTCGAACATCCGCCGCCTGGCGGATCTCGTGGGCGGGGCCAGAATGTGTGCATGTTCCCTCGCCAGACCCCGTATGGCATCACTATACACGTACACTGAAGATAGGATATTGCGCATGTGGGCGGAGCTTCGTGACGTCACCCGGAGAGTTATCGGCTCGTGGTTACCAGCGGCAGGATTGTCGTAACGTTACTACAGTTCACGTGTATCGTGGTTAATACTATATACTAGTATATATATATATATATATATATATATATATATATATATATTTAGTACAGTATTATGACACGAAGATGTTAATCCTGCTCCACAGAACATACTAAAATATAAGTAATGTAGAAAAATGGAGTTATCTTGTTTTTACAGTGAAGAGACGATACGCTCTATTGTGGGGCTAGAAGCCGTTTAAGCTACAGCCGGTGAAATAGGAATTACAGGGTTGAAATCTTTTATTGAAATCCAAGATTTTGTTGTTTATAAAATTTCAATGCAGCTAGTGTCACTCGCACCGCTAAGACCAATCCAACGACACCTCATATGTGAAAATCTATCAAGCCGTTTGGCATGTAGCTGAAAGTATGCACGTTATCCATATCAACCCAAATGATAATCACTCTCCGCGTAACGTCATGCGCGCCGGCGGACGAAAATCGCACCTCAACCTTATACAAAATATTCTCTGCTACTCAATCTCCTTATTTTCAGGTACATCCACTGCGTGGAAGAGGACCTGCCGACTCCGGACAAAGAGGGCAACCTCCCCTGCCGACTGTGCAGGACCGCGTTCAGTACGAGTGCCCAGCTGAAGGAACATTGCGAGAAACAGCACATACCTGAAATGTTCAAATGTACGGTGAGCGGATGCCCAAAAGTGTTCGTGTCGAGAACGAGAAGAAACATTCACTCCGATAACGAGACTTTGCATGCAACTACAAGTAGTACTGGTTCCACCAAGGGAGCAAACGTTGAAGTATCGTGACCTTCGAGGGGATTTCGAGCGATCAGTGCGTTACCCTCGTGGTAGTGATAACCATACTTATCAATAGAAGCCGGACCTGGAGTCTTATAGTCCAGTCAGGTAAGATAGAAATATATCTTTGCAGCAAAATTACTTTTATTTTTACTTAATATCGTCTATGAGATAAATTCATTAAAGTTATGAAAACTATGCCTTTTCGAATTATGGAAATTGTCGCTACTTTTCAAATACATAACTGTCAATATCAGGCATTTTCCATGAATCTTGGTATAGTTTCATAATTTATTTAAAATAGTATAGGCCTAGTGGAATGTAAATAAATAACAGAGCACATTTCATCAGGCACAATTATTGTAACTCGTCATCAATTTTGCTATTCAAGATTTTTCTATCCGACTTGACTGGACTATCAAGAATTAGGATCCGGAATCTACTTATCAAAATAGTTTATCGTCAAAGGTAATTTTTTATTGAGTGTAATAAGAAATATCTATCTGCAAGAGCTTCAAAATTGCTTATTTCAATTCTATACAGGGTACACAGTCTAAACAACTATAGAGGTGATTTTAAGATGGAGTTTATAGAAGCATATGTCCGATAATGCTACGTTCTCAAAACACAAAACTTTCTTAAAATAACGAAAGTCTCACGAATTTTCCAACCAAATTTGCTAAACATTTTCGATTCATCATTTCGATAGCACCTCTGCAACTCTTGCAGATATTCCTTGTTAACTCAACCATTCCATATAAACTTGATACTTAAAAACAAGGAATTTGCATTTTGCATTCGGGATGTGTGATACTTTTTATGAAATCTGTATTTATCATAACCCAGGAAAATAAAGGCAACATAGTGTAGCAGCCACAATTACATAAGAAACCAAATCACTTCTATCTAGTAGACACCCATGCTTACATAACGTCTTTCAGTGTTATGGTACTCCTGAAATTTCAAACAGTATCTTTGTCACTATGGTACAAGGCCATATATTCTTCTCTCAAAGTGTTTGACAAAGTGACTAAGCATATATCAAATTAATACCACCATAGCAAAATACGCAATGTAATGCTCGATAACAGATAAATCCAATTGGAAGTGCCTTCACCACATTTCGAACAAACCAGTTGTGGTGTGGTATGCATGGCACAGGATTGGACTCAGCCAAATGGACCACTCTAAGAATTTATCACACACAATTTTTGATAACCCCTGACACATATTTTTTGTTTTTCTTACGCTCAAGTGTGCCTCTGTGTGTCCCTCACTACGTTTTGGCCTTTTCTAAAGCAGGAGATAAAGGGTATTCCAATATGTACTTCGAGATTTATATTTTTCAACGACTTAATATTCTACAGGGTGATTCACAAGTCGTGACCAAAAATGAAACATCATACACAGGACAGCGTTTTAAGGGGGGTCTTCTGGTAACATTTTTCCTCATTAAAAAGATACGGGGTGTTGAAGTTCAAAAATAAAAAACATTTATTCTAAATATCTTCAAAACCGTCAACTGGAATGGACTACAACTCGATATATGGATTTACCTAAGTATTGGCCACATTCAGAAGTCTTGAAATTAACGTACACCAGTGACGGAGACGCAGGGGATTAGTAGCATTATTTTTCCAAATAAAAATAGTACGCCACTGTTTTTCTGGAAACACGCAATGTTTCAAATTTTGCCTTCAACTTTCTACAAATAATTACTCTTATATTTTTTCGCAGTGCATTGTTTTCGTAAAAATAACAAATTAGTAAAAACCTTTTGGGTAGGTTGGCGTCTGTTAGGAAATCTACGCTGGTACTCCCGAGAAGCCGTTAAAGCATTTCCATTACAGAACCCGTACACAAACATAATAGCGGCGTACTCATCAGTGCTCAGTTCCATTTCACAAAACTCAAAAATACACGAAAATATTTTTGACTTGACTTTTACAAAAAAACGGTAGTAGTAATGATAACAACCGTATAAGACATAACTTTGACAAACTATCTTTTAAGAAACGTCAAGTAGGTATCAAGGCTTCCTATTTCATTTTGAAATGAATTGTATCGCGGCTCTTCATGATTGATCTAATTTGTTTTATTTTTGTTTTTACGAAAACAGTGGCATACTATTTTTATTTAATGCCACTAATCCCCTGTATCTCCGCCACTGGTTCACTATAATTTTGAGTAAAGTCTTTTGAATGTGAACAATACTTAGGTTAATCCGCGTACCAAATTTCAGTTCATTCCAGTTGACGGTTTTGAAGATACTAAAAAATTGTTATTCATTTTTAGACTTCAACACTCCGTATCTTTTTAATGAATCCGTCGTGGAAAAAATGTTACATAGAAGACCCGAAAATTTAGTTGTAAACGTTCACGCAGCCACCACGCAGGTCTGAGACCTAAGTACGTGTAAGTACAGTGGGGATATAGGGGATCTATGGGGAAGGAAGGACGTCACACGGGCTCTAGCGAGGGAACATGTGACATCCACATATTCCACCTTAGAGATCCGCCGGGTAGTACCTCCACGCTCAACGGTCTGAGACCGTCTATCACCCACCGACAATGACAACATCCATACTGACGAGACGTAAAAACAAGCATGATATTCTTACAAAACTGTTTTATTGAAAACTAAAATCTCGCAGCACCTATTGGAACACCCTTGATTTAAATTGGAAATAGATTCATTTATGGAATGGTTGGACTACATGCGAACCTAATGTTTCGATAGCTTGATATCAAATTACCGTGTATGTGATTATAGAAATCTAGATTTTTCGAAAGCCAGTTCTACTGATTAATTTATTTTAAAATCATATATTTAAACGAAAAGGTGCATCAAAACCTTTTTTGTATAATATACCTGTATGTTGTATTAAATGTTAGCCAGTCTTGAAAGAATACTCATTTTGTAAATAAACTAGTCTAGTGAAGCTCTATAAGTTGTGATTTTTTTGGCGAGAATGCTATAAATGTGAATATTATATACATTGTTTGCTCATTTTTATAATCAAAATATACCCGCGTCGTTTAGGATAAACAGATTCAAATATAAATAATATAGTTCAGGTATGGTTACAACAGTATTGATTAAATTTTTGTGGATTGAAGCTTGACATAACTTGACAAGATCACAGACAGAAAACTGCTTCTCTCTGAAAATGTACCATTCAATTTTTTTTCTTAAATTTAACGAATATTGTTGTCACGTGAACTGTCATAATTTAACTGAGATCGCAAAAAATTGAACACGATCTTTAAAATATTCATATCTTCTTCTATTGATATTCATGTTGCTTGAAACAATATAACGATGACAGTTATAATGTAATCTTCATAATATTCACTATCGGTGATACAACTTAGGCTAGTATCCAGTCCTCGAATGTATATTAAATGTGCAATAACTTGTAAATATGCTATTATTGCTTATAAATGTATAGGTGTATATAAAAATACATACATATGCTGAGTATAGTATAGCCAAAATTTCGGAACATTTTGCAGGCTCTGAATACCTTCGTTATAATTTTAAATTACATAGAAAATAGAAAATGTCCTTACTCATGATTAGATGGAATAATATAACGGTCTAATGAGACAAAAAGTACTTTTTTTCAAAATCGTTAGCCAGAAATGCCAAACTTTCATCGCGGATCTTTTTAACAATGACACGACAAAATTCTAGTACTTCCCAGTGACATAATGGATACGTTCAGTTGCACCTTGATGCTACGAACTAGCTCTGCGTGAGGGATATCTGATTATCTCTTGCTGTGGACTTAATCTATTTCCAACTTTTTTTGGCAGGAGAAAGCTTTTATAACCACTCTCAGGCAGAGATGCTCGTAACTATATACGACATGTACGAATACATATTCATCCGAGCAAGTAGGGACCTACTGTTGATTCCTATGTTGATCCTCCTGCACTTTATTCAACATCATCTGCCTCACTGCCCTCGCAAAATTGTCAGCAGTGAGGCTCTTGCCGAGCGTCAATGCCAGCTGTCTTTGGTAGTCATAGTCGAATCATATCAGCAAATTTTCCCGAAATAATTGTAAAGTCTGGATTTATTGATGCAAGTTGCTCAAGGGTGTATTTAAAACATGGACGTATAAAACGGTATACCAATTTTTGTGGGAAAACTTTTTATTTGACAACGAAGAATGAGGAAACGTGTTTTTTGAGATTCAATCGAAAGTGTTGACAGGCACGAAAAAACTTTTCAGATAAGATTTTTAGGTACTTATGGGGGACCTACAAAATGAGACCACACGTAAAAAGATCCTACTAATAGCAAAAATGTTATGGCCTAAAAACGAGTCAAAATGCAGGTTTTGGAAGTTGTTGGTAATGCGACGATAATTCCACTCAGCTACTTCAAATTCTTCAAATCTGTAGGATTCATACTTCTGAAGAAGAATAACAAAATTGGAGTATATTGGTCAAGTAGTTTTTTGAAAATTTCTAATTGTTTATCCCAAAACACCTGGTTTCCGGCCATCACTACTATTTTTCAATAGCAAAATACACGTGCTTTCCTTGCCAAAATGAATCACAAACCATTCCGAAAGATACATGTTTTTTATTCGAAAAACAGATGTTACGTTTTCAACAAATTCATATATTTCGTGTTTGTGAGTAAATGAACAAATGCGCTACGATATTCGAAAAGTATACGTCACTATACACATTTTAAAACAAAGCGGATGTGTCTATCATCTTTTGTTGTGAACTACTCACAACTACGAAATGTTAGAATTTGTTTAGAAGAAAAAACGTAACCCATCCTTTTTGCATAAAAATAACAATTATTTTTCGAAATGGTTTGCGATTCATATCGACAAGGTAAACTAGCGTATTTTGCTATAAAATGCACTTTGAACTGACCCTGTATATTGCTCAATAAACTAGGACTGATAGCCGGAAAACAGGTTTTTGGGATACGCAATGAGAAATTCTCAAAAACTAATCGACCAATCTACTCCAATTTTGTAGTGGAGATTTTACAAGTCCTACGAGAAACCATCGACGCATTACTAAAAAGTGCCAAAACCTGCAGTTTGCCTTGATTTTCGACCATAACTTTTTTTCACGTGTGGTCTCATTTTGTATGTCTCATAAATTCGTAAAAATCTTTTATGAAAAATTTCTTCATTCCTGTCAGCACTTTCAATTGAATCCCAAAAAACACGTTTTCTCATTCTTTGTTGTCGAATAAAAAGTTTTCCGACAAAAATTGGTATACCCATTTTATGCGTCCATATTTTAAATACCCCCTTGAAGAACTTGCAGCAATAAAACCAGACTTTGCAATTATTTCGCAAACCAGGGGTATTTTCGTCTATGATTAGACTATAACCCTAACTTATTCCATCAAGGCCGTTTCAAGGTCAAATCAAGACGATGAAAACAATTTGCTCTAGCAAAAAGGTTTGACAACATAGTTGTAAGGTTTGTGGAGATCATCCAAATGTCACCTCGACCATGACCCTGACCATTAGTCAAATCAAAATTGTCAAAGGAAACCCGTCATGTTTCGAAGCAGAGATCATCTCGGGCTTAAATGCTGTTCTAGGGCTGAAATTTCCTGCTTTTCTATTCGAAGTATAAATGTGAGGTCATGATAAAGGTCATGTCCAAAGTCACATTTGGATTTTGTTTTGAATACCCCCTTAAACAGCTTGCTGTAATAAAACCAGACTTTACAATTATTTCGCAAACCAGGGGTATTTTCGTCTGACATGATTAGACTATCAACCCATCTACTACATTCGAGCAGAAGATTAGAAGTATCCTCCTCTCCGTGGCAATATACGCAGTTCGTGTACTATATCTTTCCTACCTCTCTTTAGGTACTTCTAGTCCATGCAACATGGCCAATTGCATCTTATATCTCCTGCCATACAATGAAAAGCGCCTCCCTTTCGTTACTTCTAGCTTCGGTGCTGTTCCTACAGTTTGGCAGGATACCAGCCACCACGAGCGCTAACTTGCAGAAACTAGTCGCAACTGAACGTGACGAATATGCGATAATATAGCTTTACATTACTATTTTTTGCTTTCTTGGTTTCCAAATGTTATACCTGTGGAATTTTCTGAAGATCTAGCTATGCAAGTGTCATTAAGGTACAACAAGTCTATTCCCATTGTTTGGAGTCCTGTGCGTATACGATTACAACTGTATATTTTAAGTGTAACAGAAACCTTTGACGTTTGATTTTTTTGTACAAATGTTAACTTACTGTTTCTGGAGGCTCAACGAAATCGTCAGTACTACTATTCATAGAAAGTTTAAAATCTGTTTTGAAGGAATTATTATTAGTTCCATAAGTGTCACGAGGCAACACAAATAAATCAGGAGCAAGTACCAAGGAAAAATGTAACATTCCTTCATTTGTTTAAAATTTCATACCAAGTGGTCTAAATTTATGTCTTTATATCTTGCGATGACCTGTACTACACATCAAATGAGTCGTAGAACAGTACAGAGATGATCAATAAAGTCCAAATTGAGTCCAGGTTTAACTGAAAACAGTAACAGTTGACTAGTACATTTTATCTGAGCCTTTATAATGTTGTTATTTTAGTAGCATACCGTATTTAATTAGTAATGCTTCAGCTTTGGGAATTGGTACAAAAACATTTTATTTAAAGACCTAAACAAATCATACGGATCTGACATATTCAAAGTTTCAGGGCTCTAAGACACGTTAATTCTTGGTTGATTTAGAATGCGAGGTGAAGCCCACAGGGTAAATTGTGAAAAATGCGCTGATCATCAATTCATGCTGCATTCAATTCTTAGTCAATTCAGACCTCTAGTCAACAACATAAAACGCGTACTAAATAACAGTTTTTTCTTTCTTTGAATACAATATTCTTTAAGTCTCCAGATGCACTACAATTTTATTTATTATCATTGTTTAAATTATTGATAAATACATACGTTTAATACCGTTGTATCCCAAATATTTCTGTAAATTTTACTGCTAAATGACAACCCCCTGTGTATACTAAAACATGTATTGCCTCTGGGCTTCATTAAATCTATAGCTGTCGTAATATGTGTGGTTTTATTTTTCCCACTCATCACATGGAAGACAATTACCGGGTAGGTACAGGGACGTACTGAAATGGTGGGGACAAAATGCTGAAACTAGAACCGATGAACATCGTGACGTAAGAGGACGTGTAGAAAATAGTAGGTGATGAAATATTTTTTCATTTGGACATAAAATATATATTCTGTAACTACAGAGTGTTTTCTGAATTCCGTACCGGCAAAATAGTTCTAAATTGAAAAGTTCGTTCTACAAAGTCCCATAAGTATTTTGTTGTTTTCTAGGATTTAGTTTTTCGAAAGACCCTACATAACAGTGATCCATAAGTTTCTTTTTTATATATATTCCGACTACCACGAAGGCCTGAGGCCTAAACACCCATGGAGTACCGTGGGGCTATAGGGTGATACAGGGGAAAGGGGGAGGACGCCACACGGACTCTAGCGAGAGAACACGCACACATTCTGGCCCCGCCTACGAGATCCATTGCGTGGCACATCCGCGTTCGACAGTCAGAGACCGTCTACCACCTACGGACAATTACAACATCCATAGCCAAGAGAAAAATTTCTCTTGGGACGGGATTCGAACCCGCGCAGCGCTCGGCGACTGATCATGAGACCGAAGAGTCTACCACTGCGGCCACCGCTGCTGCAGATGACCTGAAAATTCATACTCAAGTTAGAAACAGCACCGATTGCGAACGTCTCCAAGATAATCTTCACCGGATAATAATTTGGTGCGATAATAATAACCTATCCATGAATGCATCCAAGTGTACCATTATTTTACAAAAAAATGTCCAATAGAATTTATAATTATAAGGTTAATCAAACAACACTGCTGAATGTAAGAGAATTTAAAGATCTTGGAGTCATCTTTGACACGAATTTCAGCTTCAATCCGCACATAAATTATCTTCTAAATTCTGTAAATAGAAGTCTGGGTTTTCTGTCGTAATTTGGTAGCATAAAGGCTCATGTTGTTTAATGCATTTGTAATATCAAAACTTGAATACGCTAGAATTATTTGGAATTCTTGCTATGTGACTCTGCTAAGTTTGTGAAATATCTGTCCTTCAGGATAGATGGTAGTTATCCCGAAATAGGTGTTCCTCAAGATGTATTATCAAAGACGCACGATATGCTAAGCTTCGACCACAGAAGAAAAATGCACTCGTTAATACTCTTATTCAAGGTTATTCACAACTATACATCAATTCCAAATCCGACTTTAACTTGAAGCTAGAGCCGAGGGCTGGTCACTACTGTCGATTGATTTGAAATGATAATTCTGGCCATATTCTTAGAAGCTTCCTAGATATTCTGATGTCTCTGTTGGCTGGCGTTCATCTCAGACTTTTGCTTATAAAACCGCCCGATGACAGTTTTTCTTTTTAGGTAAGATGGTACATTCAATATTATACTACTTTGAAATTCAAATTAAACATTTCCTATTTACCTATACTATCGACTTGAATGCCGCAAGTATGCATTTTTTGACAGGAGAAAGCTTTTATAGCCATTTTCAGGCAGAAAAGCACGAAAGCACTGTCCTGTTGGCCTTTTCTGCCCGAAGTTAGAGATTCTTTAGAGAATGCAGCATACTCAGTCGTTTGCCATACGTCCCCCCACAGTAGTGCTTTCACCGAGAAAAACTTAATTAAACCAATTAGAATCTCAATTAGGCTAATTAACTATGTGACAGCTAACAAGTTTAATTGGTTTAATTAAACTCCGATTTCTAAAACAGTGTACTTGAATCTATGAAGCTAGATTAATCAAACCAAAACGCAATCGTTTAATTAAATTTGTGAAACCGTTTACTTAGATTGACTACACCAATTTAATTAAAATTAATGAACTAGTAAAACAAGTAAAACATTTTAAGAAGTTTCTTGAGTGGAGAATTATCTCGTTGGAGCGCAAGACTGGATTATGACGTCACATGACACCAGCAACCATCGCTACTACAAAGCGATGAGTCCGCCCACACGCGGTGCGGCATTTACAAACCTTGCTCTGCGTCGACCATCGAAATATACTAAGTGACATATAAATCCGAACACCCAGTTTAAATGGTTTTATTTCAATAAAAGTTGGTGCATGTATTTACCTTACTGTAAATAACAAGTAAAAAAATTTTCAGCCTTATCAGTTGGACATTCCGGTTTTTATACTGCTTTTTTTTAATTCACTAACCCTCTAAAAATGAATATTTCAGCCGCAGTAAAGAATCAACGTTGGCGGATTTTGGTTCTTGACATCCTTTACGATCGGTTACGGTGCCTAGAGTACGGAGACCTGTACGATTTCGTCAACTTAGTGAGTTTGATAGGGGCCGTATAGTGGGACTTCGGGAAGCTGGACTTTCTTTTCGGGCAATTGCAGTTAGAGTGAAAAGAAGTGTAGACACTGTGGTTAGGTGTTGTCAGACATGGCTTCGAGAAGGCCGTACGCAAAGAGCAAGGGGCGCTGGACGCCGCCGTAGAACAACAGACCGTGAAGATCGCCGCCTAAGATTATTGGCCTTAAGGGACCGTTTCTCCACTACCAGGTCCATTGCAAATGAATGGTTTGCAGAACACGGAAGACCTATTAGCATGTGAAGTGTTTACCGACGAATGAGAAGTTTTGGCTTGTTTTCATACCCGCCACACTGGGTCCTCCCTTTAACTCGAGAACACCGACGTAATAGCCTTGAGTGGTGCAGACAACGGTCACTCTGGGATCAGGAATGGAACAGTATTGTCTTTAGTGACGAGTCTCAATTTTGTTTAGGCATGCACTATGGTCGTGCCAGGGTTAGAAGGCGACGTGGTGAAAGGAGGAATCCACAGTTTTTTGTTGAAAGACATGTTCATCACACTGTTGGAGTTATGGTTTGGGGTGCTATAGCTTATGGTTCCAGGTCACCTTTAATCTTCATCAGAGGTAACATGAACGCGCAGCGTTATATCCACGAAATTCTAGAACACCATCTTTTACCCTATCTGACACCCTGGCAGATCCAACTTTCCAACAAGATAATGCCCGACCACATGTTGCAAGAGTCACAATAGACTTCTTTCAACATAATGATGTCACATTGTTACCATGGCCACCAAGATCTCCCGACTTATCCCCAATTGAGCACGTGTGGGATATGATGGGTAGGAGATTGCTCAATTTGCAACGTCCTCCTCAGACTCTAGAAGCAGAGGAGTTGGTGGTTGCCTGGAATGAGTTACCACAGGAGGACATTGACCACCTGATCAGAAGCATGCGTAGCACATCAGGGTGCATCCACACATCATTAAAGATCAAAGGGCTGTAAAGCAGTGCAATCATTTTGAAATTTTTATCATTTACTTATTATGCTTCATTAAGTACTTATACAAAATTTTATTAAAATAAAACCATTTAAACTGGGTGTTCGGATTTATATGTCACTTAGTATACAAAAAATATTGTATTGTACCTAGGTGTACAAATCGAAGCATATCACCTCCAGAAAGAAGGGTGCGGGGTAATGAACAGGGACATGGCCAATAAAATTACCTCTTTCAGAAATATCATTATACTGCTGTAAATATCGTTTTGATGTTAGTAGGTATTCAGTTTAATATGATAAAAAGGATCAAAATAAATATAAGTGTATGATGTATTAAAATAACTTAGTTGGTACAAGGGAGATAATGTAAATATTATTATAGTGATCAGGTTGCCGCTGGCAGGGGAAATGCTTCTTGAGCTCTGTTGTCATTGAGGTACCAAAAAACCTGACGACAAGTGCAAATAAATTGTATAATCAAATAGTGTCGCGTTTCAGAATAATCAGTGACTTGTGGTAAAATGAATCGCGGAATCGAAGGTAAATATAGACAGGTCATTGTTTTACTCTCCAATCGACTCGTGACAATACGACAACAATATGTGCAAGTTTGGCATTTATGCGCCATTATACGATAATTTTAAATAAACTGTAATATGAGCACCAACGACAATTTTTTTGCAAACAGCCGTCTTACTGGATCCGCCATTTAGATTATTAAAGTCGATATTTAATTCGTTATTAGCAATCTTACAAACACTTGAATCAAAAATTCTTTTGCAAAGATTGTTGCCATATTTTGATTGTTTAACAATCGATATCAAATTCGTTATTAGCAACACTGAAGACATCTAAAACCTATTTTGAGCTCAACCGAAACATTTATTTCCAAAGTTCTACACCATATTAAATCCGCCACTTTGGTCCATGACGAATTGATATCCCATTCGTTATCAGCTATCTGGAAAACGTAGAAATAAATTTATTGTGAGATTTAGTGAATCTTCCTAATTTTAGCCATATTTTACGACCTTTGAACCAGGGTTGAAAAAAACATGTTTAAAAACAACAAAAATCATGTTTTTTTGTTCAAATTTAGCTGAAAAAAAAACATGTTTAAAACACTGTTAATACATGTTTAAAACAGAAGAAAAAATAAAAAAAATATTGCCTATATAATCTAGTTAATGAAGTTCTTTGATCCAGCTCTATCAGAGCACATCTCCAACTTAAAAGCGGACGTCGAGGAAGTACTGTTTGCCTTTGGGTAATCTCCAGCAGTCAAATGTGCGAAGTCGTAGCGTGGTGATGTGTTTTGTTTTTTGTGCATTAAAGATCGTCAAAAAAAATAAAGGCAATGACAGGAAGGAGAAAGGATCCTGTGTGGAAATATTTTAAGCTGTCTCGAAAATAAATAAAGGAGCAAAATATTTAACCTGCAATATGGATATAGTGCCACTGGTGGCTAGAATGCGCAAGCACATCAAAAATTGTAAACAACTTAAACAAGGAAGTTGTTTGTTAGAAAAACAAAATATGCATATATAAGATAGTTCTGATGCCGACAATGATGATGTTTCTACCGAACCAATTTCCTCAAAGTTGAGTAGCTTGGAGAATTGTGAAAAAGGTATTTTTTTTACTTGGAGTTCCGTAAAATGTAGTGAAAACTAAAAATTTATTCTACGT